TGTGCGTGGGCGGTTCGCGGGCTGTGAGCGCGGCGCGCTGTGCGGTTCGCGGGCGGCGTGACGGGGCCGATCGGGGCGCTAAGGGGCGACGCGACGGGGGCCGTGAGAGGCCGCTAGGAAAAAAAAGTTCGACGGGGCCGCAGGGCCGCTAGATCGTGCTAGATCGACGGGGCCAGCGGGGCCGGAAACAAGCGAAGGTAAGCAGGTAGGTAAGTCGGTGGGCCCTAAGAACAGTCCTAGCGAAGGACCTGCTCTGAAACCATGTCAGAAATAACTGAGCAGGAATGGTGTGACTAACAGGAACAACAGTACAAATATGAAACCCTAACCTGGTATACCCCCTAAGGTATCACCCACTACAGCCTAGAACAATATAAACATATAATGTTTGACACGGTTATCATAGCGCCGTATATCTTTTAGGGGTTGTGTTACTGCACCTAGTGCATATTAGGAATGCGAATAGTTTCGTGACCATTCGCGTGACGCTATAGTACAAGTACCGTTTTGAGTCACAACTCCGGAGCACTGTACACTCCTGATAGTAGTAAGCGAGTCACACAGTAAAGGGTATGAAGGCGAAAAGACGGATTGACGCGAAGGGTCGCGTACGCTTACAAAGCATCTGGACCGTCAAGACAGAAAACATCGAGCAACTGCAGTGGCGATGTTTCGGCCTGGAATAGTGTTGAATTGAATATTTGCATATCCTGTATAACTCCCTACAGCTTGCTAGTGTACTTAGAACCAACTGTTGGTGGTGTACCCTTTTCCTCTTTCTCTTTTCTCTCTCCCAACTCTATATAAAAAACTCTCTTTTGGCCAATCTTCCTCAAACTCCCAATCTCCTAATCTCCTAAGCTCCTACTAAGTTCAATGTTTCACATGGTATAGTGCCTCTACGGTTCCAAGGCCTAGTTTTTCCCCATGGGCCCACCACGCATTCAGTCTCCTATGGCGCTCGTCGCGGCTCCGGTTGAGATGCTTGTCGCGGCCCATTTCGTCGACCTGCTGCTGCAGCCGCCTATTGCGCCTAGTGTTATTCCGGTGCTCTCCCGCTACGAACCTGTAGTCCTCCCCGCCCGCCCTGCCCGTCATCTGCCTCGTTGACCGCCGCCCCAGCACCCCGCTCGTCGCACCGACTCCTGCGCCCGTTGCGCCAGCAACTGCACGAACGCGCACACCAGCGCACGTCAACGCATGCCAAGGCGCATGGCGACGAGCCAACGCGCACGCACACGTGCAGCCCGCCAGCGCGCACGCCAGTGCAGCCCGTCAGCACGCACGCCAGCGCAGCTCGCCAGCGCAGCCCGCCAGCGCGCACCCCAACGCGCACACCAGCGCAGCCCGCCAGCGCGCACGTCAGCGCGCAAGCCAGCACAGCCCGCATGCCAGCGCGCAGGGTGGCGCACGTGAGCTGCCTACCGCCACCCGCCTCCTCCTCCCTCTCCATGCTGCGCGTGCAGTAGTGGGGGGTGGGGGGGAGGGGTATGGGGTTGGTGGGAGGTAATCTGCAGAACCAGCTCGTGGCCCTTCTCTTCTCGCTCTCTCTCGCGGCCGTGTTTATGGCCATGAGGAGGGGGGGGGGGGGGGGGAAATGAGGGGGTGGCGGGGTTGACCAGCAAACCGCCACTAGCTCACATCTCCGCCTTGCACCTTCTCTCCCTTCTGCTGCACCTATCTCTCCTCTTATCTCCTCTCCTCCAGCCACCTCTCCTTTGCTCTCCTCCTGTGCACCACATGTCAAAGAACTAAGCGAGAATGAATGCATTGAGTAGGAAGTTGGTACAAGTACTTACCCTAATTCGGTTGTACCCCATATAGGCTACCCCACTATAGCCTACAGAACACGAACATCATAATAGTTTGACACACCCCCATAGGTGTTGGTGCAACCCTACGGTTTGCACTCGGCTTGTTGTCCGTGTGCGTGTGCGTGCATGCGTGTGTGCGTGGAGTGGTATGGGTGCATGAAATAAATATATATTTCATGCTTATAATGGTGTGTGAATGATGGGTCATGATGTCGAGTGTGTGTGTCGAGTCAATAGCGAGTTATCGCTAGCCATGTATGACACTGTCATTTTGTGTGTCCCGCGCGGTTTCTATTTTGTCGTGCGCGGTTTCTATTTTGTCGCTTGTTGAACGTTCGGCATGTCGCAGGTGTGTGCAGCAGACCCATCAAGAACTCAAGGATGAGTTTGTGATGAAGAACCCGAGCCTTGGTTGCAAGCTTCAAGTGATTTCGAAGCTCGCCGAAAGGGTACACCTCAAGATATTGAAGATTGTTACATTACAATGTGTAGTGTAACATTTCCATGGGTGTAGGCCCTTGTGGAGGGTAGTTTCGAGACCCTTCTTGGTTGGGGACAGTGTGGCATTGTTCCCCATCACTATACCTCGGCTCTTGGGGTTTGTAGGAGCTGGGAGTCCTTCCCAACTCGTAACTCTTCCTAGTTCTTCCTAATTGTGTGTTCTAAGACTATGTTGCTGCCATAGTGCCGTTCGTTCAAACCGACGCTGTGTCGTCAATTCTTGTTGGAATCGTGCGATCTAAATTGCCTATTGTAGAGGACGTCAAGACGCTCCAGATCCAAGTTGAATCAGGTCATTTGGAGCTGTGACCAGATCGCTATGATCGTTTAAAGCCGCTGTGCAGAAATCCGACTGTGCACTCTAGCTTTTGTTTTTAGGCACATTGAAGCCTACTGTGACTATAACAATAGGCAAAGTTGGGGAGAACAAGGGGTCACAAGACCAGTCAGGAAAATGCAAAGCAAGCTCAGGGTGGATCACGAAGTCACCACACACTCTAAGCACAAGCAAATGTCGACAAGGCCAGTTCACATGCAGAGGTATATAAGGAACAACAAGCGGTACAGTGATCACTACGTAGCAAGTATAAGCATGCAAGTATATATATATATATAGATCATAGTACAAGCAAAGTCAAAAAATGAGCGAGTGAAAAGAAGCAGGCACAAGGCCTAACGCAGCACAGAAACGCTGATGGTCACCAGGCGGAAGTGCCTTGGTGATCACATCAACAGTGTTGGCCCGAGTGGCCACGTAAGAAAGGCAAAGTTGACCATGCTGCTGCAACTCTCGAGCCAGGAAGTAACCCAGCCAGAGCGATGTGCTTCATTCTGTGCTCCAGTCTGTGGTACGAGGCACAAGGCAATCATGGCCTTGTTGTCTACGTACAGAATTGGAGGAGAACGAGGCCGCTCTCCCAGGTCGGTCAGCAAGTAGGTGAGCCATCGTAACTCTTGTGCAGCCATGGCCCCTGCATAGATCTCAGCCTCACAACTGGAACTGAGAACAGAAGACGAACGGGTAGACCGCCAAGAAACAGAGCCAGAGCCAAGACTGAAAGTGTAACCCTGTGACGACCGCTGCGTAGCCAGGTCGTCAACCCAAGAAGCGTCTGAGTGTCCAGTAAGGACAACTGGACCCCATCCTCCAAGCACGAGCCCCATGCCCGACGTACTGCACAATTAGCCCAACACTCTCTTAGCAGCCTCCCAATGCTCTTGCTGGTATTTCCCGTGCACAACGTAGCGAGCCAGGATGCTAAGAGGGTAAGCAAGGTCAGGTCGAGTGCAGGTCATCAGGTACACGAGGCAGCCCACAAGCTCTGGATATGGGCCACTCGGCTCACCAGACTCATTCGAAAGTGGAGTTGAGAGTGAGTGACCGGTAGGCAGAGGAGTGGACTGTGGCGAGGAGAACTCGAAGCCGAAGCGCTGAAGGACCTGGTGCACCATGTGTAACTGAGTCAGGGTGATGGTGCGCCGTGCTCTGTCCCGGGTGATCTGCAAGCCAAGATAGCTGCGCAGCTCACCCAGGTCTGTGCACGTGTGTCTCTTCTGCAGCTTCGACTTCACAAGGGCCAGTGCCTTAGTGTCAGCAGTGGCAAAGTCCAAGTCGTCGACGTACACGAGGATGTAGAACAGCGGCAGCGAAGTGTCGGTGCGCAGAAACAGCGACGGGTCAGCAGTGGAAGGAGCAAACCCAAGAGCCGCAAGTGTCGTCCTCAGTGTGTCGTGCCACTCACGAGGCGCCTGGCGGAGACCGTAGACTGGCCGTCGAAGGCTCCACTGGGTACTCTCAGAAAACGACCCAATGAAGCCACGAGGACAGCGCAGCCAGATCTCCTCGTGCAGGCTGCCCTGTAAGAAGGCTGTGCTGAAGTGAAGAGAGTGAAGCTCGTAGTCACGCTGAGCAACAACGTGCAGGAGCACCCGAAGAGTGGTCATCTTCGGGGTAAGGGGGGAGAAGGTCAGAAAGAAGTCAACGTAACGAGCCTTGAAGACAGGCGGAGAACCTGGCGGCCGCTTCACCCTGAAAATTCGCAGGCCATCGACTATGTTCGCCCTAGGAGGGGGAACTGCGTCGCAAAAGTGCCTGTGGACTTCCAGGATGCCATCTCTGCGTCCATGGCTGTCTGCCACTGAGAGGAGTAGGGACCCGTAATCGCCTCTGCGTAAGAGCGCGGGGTCGGAATGTCTAAAGCATCCAGGTCTCCCTCAGGTGCAAGCAGCATGGCCACGAGATGAGGTACAGCAGCTGCAAGACACTTAGAGTCCTCCTGCCTGTCCTCAAGAACGTCCGTGCCAAATGAGCAGTCACCCCCGACGGACGGAGGACAGACAGACTCAGACTCAGCAACAAGGCTAGTGGCGTAGTCGAGACGACAGCGAGCAGCAAAGTCGACAAGCTCAGCAACTAAGGCAGACGCAGCAGTGGACTCAAACGAAGGGTCGGTTACAATAGTGGATAGAAGACGTGTGATAATAGGGCTGGCAGCACGAACTAGGTCAGACTCAGGGTCCGGACCGTCACCAAGAGAGGACGCAGGAGGAGACGGTAGAGGGACACGCTGTGGAACAGAGGAAGGACGAAGTGCCATAGTGTGCGTGCCGGGGACAGGAGGAGGACGCTGTTGAGGAACACGGCGATCAGTGCGAACAGCGCGAACAGGCGAGGCAGGACGAGACTCAGGCTCATGTCACTCTCTAAGAGAGTGTAAGGAGAAGGAGCAGGCAGTGGGGAGTCTGTCTGTAACTGTGGCTGCAACTGGTCAGGCGGTGGACACAGTAATTGAGGAGTAAGGCCAGTAGAAGACGGGAGACTAAGAACCTGGCGAAGTACCGAGCCAGGTGGCGGCAGAGACGACGGCGACGGTGGAACGAAAAACGCTCACCGCTGCATAGTGCCTCCAGCACCAGTATCGCCAGCTCCAGCACCCCCACCGCCAGCACCTCCAGCAGCTCCAGCAGCTCCAGCACCTCCAGCTCCAGTGCCTCTAGCTCCAGCGCCTCCAGCTCCAGTGCCTCCAGCTCCAGCGCCTCCAGATCCAACTCCTCCAGCTCTAGTGCCTCCAGCTCCAGCGCCTCAAGCTCGAGTGCCCCCAGCTCCATCGCCTCTAGCTCCAGGGTCTCCAGCTCCAGTGCCTCAAGCTCCAGCACCACTAGCTCCGGCAGCTCCAGTACCGCCAGCGCGAGCACCTCCAAGACCAGTAGTGCCAGCAGCTCCAGCACCTCTAGCTCCAGCAGCACCGCCAGCCGTGGCAGCTCCAGTACCTCCAGTTCGAGCACCTCCACGACCAGCAACTCCAGTACCCTCAGTACCTCCAGATCCAGCGCCTTCAGCGCCTCCAGCTCCAGCACCTCCAGCAAAAGTGCCTCCAGCGGCAGGGCTTCCAGCTCAGCAGCGCGACGAGAGACCCGGAGGACCTCTAGTAGACGTAGTACCCCTATACTCAGCACCCCCAGACTCGGTACCCTCAGGCTCAGCACCCCCAGGCTCCGCACCCTCAGGCTCAGCACCCTCAGGCGCCGCACCCTCAGACTCAGCACCCCCAGGCTCAGCAACCTCAGGTTCTGCACCCTTAGGCTCAGCACCCTCAGACTCAGCACCACCAGGCGCAACACCCCGAGCAGCACCACCCCCAGCAGCACCAGAGTCACCAGTGACCTCGACAGGCTCAACCAAGGGGAGTGGGTCTACCTGAGACACACCTAAAGGAGCAGGACCCTGAGGGGGGAGGGGGTCTACCGGAGGGGGACCTGGAGCGAGGAAGAGCGGCCGGGGGGGGGGGGGGGGGGGGAGGGGGAGAGGAGAGGGGCAGTGCAGTAGGGGAAGAGACGGTAAAAGGGAACCGACTCGTCAAACGTGACGTCCTGAGAGGACAGAACACGACACGTGGTGGGGTGGTAAAACTGCCAGCCAGGCGCGTCAGGGGGAAAGCCAAGGAAGACACAGGGAATGGCGCGGGAGGAGAGCTTGTCCGCAGAGGTATCGCGGACAAAGGCACGAGCGCCCCAGACCCGGAACACCGACGCATCCGCAACCTTCCCCGTCCAACGCAGTGTGGGCGAGGTCTCCGGCAAGGAGACACGGGGCCAGAGGTTGAGCTGATGCTCATCGTACCGGACCGCAAACAGCCACAGAAAATGGGGAGCAGCCGCATGGATCATGGAGGTACGAGCGACCTCCACGACTAAGCCAATGCGGCGCTCAGCAATCCCATTTTGCTGCGGGGAGGCCGGAAGCGTGAACGACTGGAGGATGCCCTCCCCACGACAGAAGTCCCTCAAAAGGTCGGAGAAGAACTCACCACCTCTGTCAGAGTGCAGACGCAGGACAGGAAGGTCCGTGTGGAACGGCTCGTGGAGCTGGAGACGGACAGCGCGGATCCAAGGGATCAAAACATCAGGGACCTCCCCCTTGCTGCGCAAGGGGAAGACCGTAGTGTAACGCGTGTAGTCGTCAACAACCAGCAGAAAGTACCGCTCGTGGCCCTGTCCACTCACGTGGGCTGGGCCCCACACGTCCATGTGGAGAGTCTCCAGGGGAGCCTCTGTCGCAAGAAATGAGGAGGGTGTCAAAATCACGAGACTGGAATGGTTGAACTAACAGAGAAATCAGTACAAATAGCAAACCCTAGAATTGTGTACCCCATATAGGCTAACCCACTGTAGCCTAACAAACCCAACATATATAATGTTTGACACACCCCCATAGGCAAAGTGGGGGAGACCTAGGGGTCACAAGACCAGTCAAGGCAAAGCAAGGCAAACAAGCTCAGGGTGGATCTCGAGGATTCCACACAAATTCCGAGCACAAGCAAGCGGTCACAAGACCAGTTCACATGCAGGTTTATAATAGAGCAAGACGTACAATGATCACAACCTAGCAAGAGTAAACATGCAGGTATATAAATATATAGTGATCACAGTACAGGCAAAGTCAAGAAGTGAGCAAGTGAGGCCCAGTAGGCACAAGGCCTAACAGAGTACAGAAGCGCTGATGGTCACAAGGCTGGAGTGCCTTGGTGAACACATCAGCAGTGTTGGCCTCAGTGGCCACGTAACGCAGACGAAGCTGACCGCGCTGCTGCAGCTCTCGAGCAAGGAAGTACCGCAGAGCAATGTGCTTCGTTCTGTGCTCCAGTCTGTGCTCCTCACACAAGGCAATGGCAGCCTTGTTGTCAACGTACAGCACTGGAGGAGAACGAGGCCGCTCTCCGAGGTCGGTCAGCAGGTAGGTCAGCCAGCGCAGCTCCTGAGCAGCCATGGCTGTGGCGTAGATCTCAGCCTCACAACTGGAGCTGAGAACAGAAGACGAACGAGTAGAACGCCAAGAAACTGAGCCAGAGCCAAGGCTGAAGGTGTAACCCTGTGACGACCGCTGAGTAGCCTGGTCGTCTGCCCAAGAAGCGTCTGAGTGCCCTGTGAGAACAACCCGGTCTCGCCCTCCAAGCACAAGCCCCATGCCCGACGTACTGCACAAGTAGCGCAACACCCTCTTAGCAGCATCCATGTGCTCCTTCCTGTGACGGCCAGGAGCGACATAGCGTGCTAAGATGCTAAGGGGGTATGCAAGGTCAGGTCGAGTGCAGGTCATCAGGTACACGAGGCAGCCCACAAGCTCTGGATACGGGCCACTCGGCTCTACGGACTCATCCGAAGGCAGAGCTGAGAGCGAGTGACCGGTAGGCAGAGGAGTGGACTGAGGCGAGGAGTACGTGAAGCGGAAGCGCTGGAGAACCTGCTGCACCATGTGTGACTGAGTCAAGGTGATGGTGCGCCGTGCTCTGTCCCGGGTGATCCGCAAGCCAAGATAGCTTGTCAGCTCACCCAGGTCTGTGCACGTGTGTCTCCTCTGCAGCTCCGACTTCACGTGGGCGAGTGCCGCTGTGTCAGCAGTGGCAAAGACCAAGTCATCAACGTACACGAGGATGTAGAACGGCGGCAGCGAGGTGTCGGTGCGTAGAAACAGCGACGGGTCAGCAGTAGAGGGAGCGAACCCAAGAGCCGCAAGCGTCGTCCTCAGTGTGTCGTGCCACTCACGTGGCGCCTGGCGGAGACCGTAGACCGGCCGCTGAAGCCTCCACTGGGTGCCAGGAGGAACCGACCCAGTGAAGCCAGGAGGGCGGCGCAACCAGATCTCCTCGTGCAGGCTGCCCTGCAAGAAAGCAGTGCTGAAGTCAAGTGAGTGAAGCTCGTAGTCGCGGTGAGCGGCTATGTGCAGCAGCACCCGAAGAGTGGTCATCTTCGGGGTGGGGGAGAAGGTCTGGAAGAAGTTGACTCCCTCTCGCTGACTGAAGCCTCGAGCCACGTAGCGTGCCTTGAAGACAGGAGGAGAACCCGGCGGCCGCTTCACCCTGAAAATCCACATGCCACTGACGATGTTCGCCCCAGGAGGGGGAACCTGGTCGACGTAGGTGCCTATGGACTTCCAGGAAGCCATCTCTGCGTCCATGGCTGTCTGCCACTGAGAGGAGTAGGGACCCGCCATCGCCTCAGCGTAAGAGCGCGGGGTCGGGATGTCTGGTGCATCCGGGTCTCCCTCAGGGGCAACAAGCATGGACACGAGATGGGGCAAAGCAGCAGCAAAGCACTGGAACTCCTCCTGTCTGTCCTCAAGGACGTCCGTGCCAAGAGCACACTCACCCCCGACGGACGGAGGACAGGCAGACTCAGACTCAGACTCAGCGACAAGGCTGGCAGCGTAGTCTAAGCGACAGCGAGCAGCAAAGTCAACCAACTCAGCGACCAGAGCAGACGCAGCAGAGGACTCAAAGGTCGGGTCAGTGACAACTGTAGCGAGGAGACGCGTAACAGTGGGACTGGCCGCACGACGGGAGTCAGACTCCGGGTCAGGAAGAGTAGGAAGAGAGGACGCAGGAGGAGACGGCAGCGGGACACGCTGCGGAGCAGTGGAGGGACGCAAAGTCATGTAGTGAGTGCCAGGGACAAGAGGAGGACGCTCACGGGGGACACGACGACCAGTGCGAGTAGTACGAACAGGCGACGCAGGACGAGACTCAGGCTCACGACGCTCTGTAAGACCTCCTGTGGGACCAGCGTAAGGAGAGGGAGCAGGGAGAGGCGAGGCAGGCGGTAATTGTGACTGCGGCTGGACAGGCAGAGGACACTCGACGGAGGGAGGAGGACTAGGAGGAGGAGCCTGACCAAGAACCTGCTGAAGGAGCGGTACGAAGTACGGTCGCGGCCGCGCAGCGTCTCCAGAACCAGCAGGGACACCAGCAGCAGCGCCAACGTCCGAGTCCTCAGCACCAGCAGCAGCTCCAACACCCGGGTCCTCAGCACCAGCAGCAGCGCCACCGGTCGGGTCCTCAGCACCAGCAGTAGCTCCAACGCCCGAGTCCTCAGCACCAGTAGCAGCTCCAACGCCCGGGTCCTCAGCACCAGCAGTAGCGCCGCCGGTCGGGTCCTCAGCACCAGCAGCAGCTCCAACGCCCGGGTCCTCAGCACCAGCAGCAGCTCCAGCGTCCGGGTCCTCAGCACCAGCAACAGCGCCACCGCTCGGGTCCGCAGCACCAGGAGCACCACTCCGAAGACTGCAGCGCCGTGTGTACCACTCTCGGATCACCTGAATGGGGGGGAGCTCCTGGGTAGGAGGGGAAGTACTGCGCATGGTGGATCGGGCACGAAGGTCCACAGTGAGCGCGAGGAGGTCCAGAAGAAGTCGAGAAATATGCCACACATAAAATATATTCATTTACAGGAAAATTCCATGCGAGGAACAATATGTGGCGAGTTAGGTAGCCCTGTTCCACTGTTAAGGACTATGCATGCACATCACTACCAAGTGCAAGACGGTCAGCAACTAGGGGAAGTGCAATGAGATCTAATACGAAAGAGGCACATGAAGTACCCCTTGGGTATTAAATGGGCCACCAGAAGGTGCTTGGCCAGCGGGTTTTAGGGTTGCTAGCCGAGCACGCGAACGCCGTGCGTGTGTGATGACCGCCGGGATCAAGGTGGAGGGAACGTGTACGTGCGAAGATAACTCTAGTAACGGGAGCTAGACTACGGGCTAGGCACGGATGCTCGTGTGATCTCTGCGTTCATTGGTCCTTAGTCGTTTTCCTAGTGCGCACACTACTTGCTAGTTCACAAGGCAATTTGGCAAGAGTTTCACTAAAAGTTGACAATAATGATACAATAAAGTTGGCTAGGCAAGACTACATCAGAGCTAGGATGCAAGCAGGTCGACTGCCAGCGCAGCACGGTCGACCGCGTGCCAGCACGACTTGGTCGACCGCGCTCCAGCAGTGCAGAGACGCGGCTTGCCAACGCTGCAGGTCGACGGCGAGACAACAGCGCAAGTCGACGGCGTGCCAGCGTTGCTCCTGCAGTCCAGCATCGCACCCGCTTCGCAGGTGCTCGTAGATGATTGGCGTGCACTGCTTCGTCACTTGCACAGCGCACACACCAAGTCCACCTCGTGCTGACGACTGCATCTGATGCACCACGTCGACCTCGGGATACCATCACCGAGGTCGTCCTCGCCAAAACCACCTGGGCGACCTTCGCAAGCCTTCGCAGCACCTCGTCACCCAGGTAACCTGGTCGACCGGGCAACCAGGTCGACCAGAGGCTCCAGTGCGTGCCCGTCGACCACCCAGGTCGACGACCACTTCCGGTCGACCTCCCAAGGTCGACCACTGCCTCTGGTACGTGCCGGTCGACCTCCCAAGTCGACGGCCACCTCCAGTCGACCTCCCCAGGTCGACCACTATCCTTTGGTCGACCAGCTCCAAGTCGACGTCACTCCTGGTCGACCAGAGGGTCTGGTCGACTTCCTAGGTCGACCAGAAGGGCTGGTCGACGTCCCAGGTCGACCAGAAGGTCTGGTCGACTTCCTAGGTCGACCACCCGAAGTTGGCGCCCTCCCGAAGTCGGCGCCCATGCAGTGGCTCCTCGTGCAGGTCGACCAACCTCGTCGACCAACTCGCCCACTGCTGCAGGTCGGCTGCACCCTACACCCGACCACGAAGTCGGCTCCGCCCAAGCAAGGACGGGGCCAACATCCAACTCCCGTTGACACTCCCCTGCCGCGTTCACGCTTGGGCCCCCAGCCCACACGACAGTACTACTCGGAGACAAGCTCGTCGACGTGCACCCAACACACAGCACGTCGTCCACCGCACCAGCCATGCAAGAGGGCATGGCACCTACTGCTGCACTTCGTCAACTTCGTCGCCCACGTCGGCCAAGCGCACCTGGCCGATGGCGACAGAGCACCGGTTGAAAGCCGGATAGTGCAGCGCCTTCGTGAGGAAGTCGGCCGGCTGCTCAGCGGTCGGGATGTACTGCAGCGCAAACTTCCCCCGCTTCACCATGTGCTGCAGCCAGGCCTGTCGCCGTTCCATGTGCTTGAGGTTGCCCGTCAACCCCATGCCTTCGGCGACTGTGATGGCCGACTTGTTGTCCACCCGAAGGACGGTCGGCTTCCCGGCGTCCAGCTGCTGGAACTCTGCAAGGAGGAAGCGAAGTCGGCGCCCCTCCTTGCTGGCTTCGACGGG